AGAACGGCAACGCTTTTGGTTCGGTGGGATTCAGCAGCCTGAAGCTTGATTCGTGCTCGTTGTCAGGGTGCAGCTTGAAGATCTCGGGGCTCGAGCTCCTGAGCCTGGAGATCTCGGGCGTATACTCGGCTAGAGGGATCGACGTGGTTGCTCCGAAGCTGAAATCTTTCATTTTCCACGGCTATTCGGCGGCGTGTCTCCAGAACTTGGAGCTTCCTTCGCTGGACCGCGCGATTGTTCGAGTATGTTAGGGTTAGTAGTGGGGGCGTGGGGCGGCGTCTTTAAGGGGAAAGGGCAGCGGTCGGTTAGCCGGTTAACCGTCGGTTTCCGACCTCGGTTAGTCGGCTAACCGCCCCCCTGATATTGCCTACCGCCAACCGACCGCCCTCTTTGGATTCGGTTTTTCGGCTAGCCGAAAACCGGTCGGTTCGGTTGAAACCGACCGGTTAGCCGCTAACCGGAAAACCGTCTGCCAGCCCTAATTAGCATATGAACTGCATATCCTGCAAAGCTTAAGAGGTAATCCAGCTTGAGATTAAGGGGTATGGCAGCAATGCTTAGAATGTTCTAATGATGTTTCCTCTCGAGCCTTACATATTTTCGAGGTCTCTTAAGTCAAGAGGTTCGGTCAGATCTCTGTCGTGTTCACTAATCCTTAGAATGAGCACGTGCTCGATTTAGACGCAGAAAATAGCTATATGGTTACCAATCATTATCGATTAACCCTGGCGCTTCTAGATCAAGGCATGCAGTACAAATTATGACAGGGAATATAATTACCGTGTAAAAAAAGTCGTCGTAATTGAAGGGAATATAACCTAACATTTTAGCGTAAATGAAAAGAGACAAGCAGGCAGCAGGTCTATGGTCAGGTAATTCAAGACCCGATACAGAAGAACCAAGAGAGATCCGAAAATCATGTACAAAATATATGTTGTTAATTAGTCCGCCTTCTAGAACACCTTTTTACCAGGCCAATCATTCACATGCAAGGTATAGAGATTACCAACTCAAGGTAGGGAAAGCAAGCCAACATCAACAACCCAACCCGAAAACACCAATCCGCGATCGCGAACAAAGGTTTGGTCTACTGACTACTGGTATTATTATTGGGCTTCTTGGAGGTCTCAACTCCCCATGTTCGAATATCTTAAGTAGCATATAATGATAAAAGCTAATTTATATTATTCTTCCTCGACTCTCCATGTGTTTGCATATAATATACCACGAGGAGACTAAAGAGTAGAACCCGGGAAACTTCAACTCCAAACGTCGCTCACATTGTCAAATTTTATCTTTTTCAGTCTCAACGGTCATAGTTGTTTAGCTAGCTCTCCTTCCATAAACACCGAACACTCTCATCTATACGTTTTTCAAAAGGGGGTTATTAATTGTTGTAGAAAACATTATCCTCGAAATCAATCAATTCAGACAACACATTGTTACACTTTTTTTTTTTTGTTATCTATTATCATAGGTTTGTAGATAACTCTCTCCTTCCATAAACATCGAACGCTCTCATTTACATTTTGTCTCAAAAGTATGTGAATTAGTGTACGAATCATCTTGCTCGAAATTAGAATATACATCAATCAATCAATGAAGGGCACAAACTTTTCCACCAAGAAACATTATAATACGTTGTATAAGCATCTAGAGAAAAGCTAAACAGGTACAAACGATGGTTTAATGAACGTAATTAAGAGGTGCCCTTAATTAAGAGGCCCAATGTGTTTCCACTAATTAGGGCAGCATAACCTTTTTGGATATGGTGTATATATATGTGATAAAAGCGTCCAATTAATGACATCTGGAATATATTATAATAATGATAATCATTATTATTATTTTATAAAGGAATAACATCTGGAATTTGTTACTCCAAACACACATGGCATTGTACACTAGTGATGTGTAATTTTTGGAACATCGCCATAAAATAATCCTCCGAAATCAACATCACACCGGAAATTCCAAGGGTTGGTTTAGCATAATGGACGTTCTAATTAATACAGTTATTTCTTTATTTTATGTTAGGACTTAGGAGACAAAGTGGAAACGTTGGCATTGGAAGTGTAATTGGGTTGAAGATATATAATGAGATTGCTGATATTTTTTTTTTTTGTGTCTCTCTAAATCATCTAAATTCAAATAGAATCATTTGGTCTGCACCAAACAATTGGATCCAATTCAAACCCAACATAGACCTAAAACCATCCAAATGCATCTTTGTCCGATCTAAAATCCACCTGCGCGGGTCATAATAATTGGGCCGAAGTATCCAACTGCCTATCAATATGGACTCCAATATGTCATAAACCAGTTGGTCCCAACAACTCGAGTTATTGGGAGAGGGTTATGCTGGATCTTATACAGGCCCGTGTATGGTACTTAACCACTTCCTTATACGCCCCCTCAAACGAAAGCCGACTTATGGGCTTGAAGTTTGCACAGGCCCGCCATACCATGTGCTTGAAAGACAACGGTTAGTATTGGAGGTCGTGAGGACTTGAACACGTGACCTCAAGGACAAACCAGCTCTGATACCATGTCATAAACCAGTTGGTCCCAATAACTCGAGTTATTAGGAAAGGGTTATACTGGATCTTATACAGGCCCGTGTATGGTACTTAACCACTTCCTTGTACAATAAATAGTCTTTCCGATTATTGAACCGGTCTATACAATACGATTTGCACAGGTACTGCCTTAGCTTGGTGTGTTCACTTCTTTCCATCACATTGCTCTACGAGACTACGGCTACGTTGGGTTTTCCCGAAGAGGGAAATTGTGGGGGAAAAGAAACTCGAGTTTTCCTCTATAGCTTTATTTCATTATTATGTATATGTAATACTATATTCCTTTCTTCTTCTTGTTGTTCGAGAGCTTCTTTTGTTTGGTTTTCGACGAGAATGACATCGACCCTGTCGTTTTATGGTGTCTGAGTAAGTTAAGCTGGAGAGAATAGGGACGTCGGTCGATGAGTACGAAGCAAGAAGGTATCCAGGGAACTCAAATGTGTCCAAAACAGACGATCAAAGAAAGATAGTACGTACGATATCGCTTGGTTTAGTTTATTTGGTGATTACAAGATGGTAATTAAAGGGAAATAACGATTGATCCGTGGGTATTTTTGGATACGTACGTACTTAATACAATACATGCATTAATAATTAAACTCAAGCCAATTAATCACATTAATAAAGCAATTGTCATGAGTGGTTTGATTTACGTGATTGTTGGGTGAGAGATTGATATTGGTTGTCTTGTTTGTAATTAATTATTTTTATGATTTTTTCTTATAAAAGAATACACATTTATGTTGTTTGGTTGATGCGACACCATCATCAGCCATTTAAAATAAATGGTCATGCAATCTTAACTTTTAGCTGGAGTGTGTCTTGTGAGAGTGAATTCTCTACCCCCTAAATAGTACAATACATGCAAAATGCTTTGTAATTCCTCTATAAGATACAAAAGGGTAACTTTGTAATTTTATAATTTTCTACTAATTTTATTGTTTTATGTACAAACGTATTGGAAACACGTACAATTCGCGCAAAACAAACACTGTAATATGAACTATATGACAATCGTGTTATAGATTGCTTCGATGCTATGAAATAATATGATCTGGAGCAATTAAAATTTATTAACTAAATCATATATGATACCAACAAAGTATAATATGTGATTAGCTAACAAAACAAATCATATGTATCATGATATAGAAAATGAAGCACCAAATAAAAGTCAAGATTTTAGTAAACAAGCTAGTTCGAGCTCGACTCATTTGCGGCACTAGATGAAACTACTCACTGAGCAACTGCCAAGTGTGGGAGGGGTATTGTATACGTGGCAGAAAACCCATCTCCATACAAAATCAGGATGGCCAAACAGCGCACTCCACGTGGGCTAACTGTTCGCTGGCAACAACGTCGGAGGAAAACGGAATTTCGTTGGGATTAAAGAATCTTTTAGAAAAATTAAAGGAAAGAAAAAAAAAGAAAAAAAAAGAAAGAAATAACAAACGACGGCTACATGGCAATTGCTTAACCCATTTGCCGTGGGGCCCACTTGCAGCGTGGGGTATTTGGGGTCAAGATGGTGGGGGTCGTCAGATATTATTTGGGGTCAATACATTAGTAGCCACCGAACTTTAAGGTAACTAAACTTTGATCACTAAATTTTGATAACTTAACAAGTATTTCATTAAATTTTAGTTTAACTAATTTTGTCAGCCTTTCTCTTCTGAATTAATATAAAAACTCTTAGCATTAAGATAATTTGAAATTTTTTAAGAAAAAAAAAATGTATACAATTAGTTTTTAAGAGTGGGATTTGGACCTACGCTCTTCTTGAGCAGAATTCTAGAAAAACTATTCATACGGAAAACCTAATAAAGAATGGAATGGGGGTGTGTGTGAAGATCCGATCTGTCGCAGTTTAGTAGTAACTGAAAAGTTAGGATCAAGGATCGAACCATCGTTGCTTTCAGTCTGATATAATCCGATCCAAACATCAGTTCGCTCCATTGTATTTATAAAATTCATTGTATCAACTACCAAGGACCAAACCACATTTTTGTTCGATTCGGTGGTCCATTGCAAAGGCAGGTTTCATATGGTGGTGCGGATCAAAAAGTTGCACACTCCTAAATTGAAACCTTAACTGTTAAGTTAGTTACTCCAAAATTGACTCGCGAGGTCGTTATCAATAAAATAAAATAAAATAAAAACAGTGACGAATTTGGTTGTCGCCATGAAATCCAGTACCGCGTTGTTGCAAATTTCCCCCGAATTTTCTTGTGCGGACGGATGGTGAAGGTCCAGTAGGCCCCACGTTTCGCCGAGTAGATCGGATGCGGGTCCCACAAAAACAAGGCTCGACCAATCGGTCCGACCGGCACAGTTCGTTTTTCGTCCGCTAGCGGATCGGGTTTGCTGGTCTGCAGCTATAAAATCCACACTCACCCTTCGCCTTCTTCCTTACCCACAATTCCTTTCCTCCCTTCTCTCTCGCTCTCAAGCTCTCTCCTTAATCCCACTCTCACTTTCTGCTTCTCCACTGGTCGACTTTACTCAGTCCCGCTCTTCTCAAGCTCGATTACAGAGTTCATCGGGAGAAAAACCCGTAAAGGAAGAGAAAGAAAAACAGAGCACTCTGCTTTTTCGTCCAGTTTGCTCACCCCATTCTGTTTAGGTTCTAATTCAGTCTCATTCAAGGTAAATCGAGATAATAGGCGTCTTCCATTCGGTGGAAATCTAACTTCAAATGGGCTTCCTCTGGTTTTTTAGTTTGCTTCCAATTTTGGGGATTTTTTCAATCTCATGGGCGATTTTTCTTATTGTTACAGAGATGACGAACCAAAATGTTGTAGTGCCGGACACGAAATCGGGGATCAGCTTGCCAATGGTCCGTCTTTCGGGCTCGTCGATCTTCCCGGCGACGGCGCAGAAGCCGCCGACGGCTCCTGGCACCGGCGGCGGGGGCTGCATCTCCCTGTCGGCCAAGAAGAAGCTCCTGCTAGAGAATCTGGAAATCAATGGCGGCGGCGGAGCCGCCAAAATTAACTCCTGGGTTGACTCCATGAGAGCTTCCTCGCCGACCCACATGAAATCGAGCTCCCAATCTCTCTCGGAAGATCAGCAACTCCCATGGCAGCAGCACCAGCAGCAGATTACTCTGCCGTCGGCGTTGGACAATTTCGACCAGATAATGGAAGCTTCTAGAGGGAAGCAGATCGTCATGTTCCTCGACTACGATGGCACACTCTCCCCCATTGTCGACGACCCCGATCGTGCTTTCATGTCCAAAAAGGTCCGCCATTTCGACTCCTCCCCGGAAAACCAAAAATTGAAAAGATAAAAAAAATTGCTCTGTTTCCTTGACTGAGAAATTTGCTCTGTTTTTTTCCCCCCTCCCCCTTTCTTCAGATGAGGACGACTGTTAGAAGGCTGGCGACCTGTTTCCCCACCGCCATAGTGAGCGGAAGATGCAGAGACAAGGTACATTAATGCCGTTCAACAGCAAACAACAAAATCTGAATTCCTTCCCCCTGAAATCACCGTTTTCTCAACTCTGTCTCTTCCCCTGTTTTTTTCAATTTTGGCGCAGGTGTACAAATTTGTCAGGCTAGCCGAACTTTACTACGCCGGAAGCCACGGGATGGACATTAAGGGTCCGGAGAAAGGCTCCAAGTACACTAAAGTAAGCGACTTCAATCTACTTCACTTGTAAAGCAGCGAGCTTTCAACCCCGCCAAAACCCACAGACTAATCAATCGTGCTCTGTTTTTCTTTCTTTCTGGGAACTCAGGGGACAGAGCCGGTGATATGCCAGCCGGCGAGCGAGTTCCTGCCCATGATCGACGAGGTGTTCAAGGAGCTGGTGGCGAAAACGAAATTGACCCCCGGAGCCAAAGTTGAGAACAACAAGTTCTGCGTCTCGGTTCACTTCCGGTGCGTGGAGGAGAAGAAATGGAGTGAAGTGGCGGAGGCCGTTAAGTCCGTTTTGAACAAGTATCCCAAACTCCGTCTCTCTCAAGGAAGAAAGGTAAATAATGATACTTATTATTATTTGGATTAATTAATTATTTACAAAAATGGAGTGTGATTAGTTAATTAATTAATTAATTATTACTCTGTTTACTATTTGCTAATACAGGTACTGGAAATCCGACCCACGATTAAGTGGGATAAAGGCAAGGCTCTGGAATTTTTGTTGGAGTCTCTTGGTGAGTATTTAAGTTTTAAATTAATTAAATCTTGATTATTATTTTTATGTGGGTTTGTTAAGTTTCTTAGTCGATGCTTTTTTGAAAAGCATCAACTGTCCAAAAAGCTAACCCACCTTATTCCCACTTGATTAGTTAATGGTCAAATTATCAAATCACTGAAACTAATTTTTAACTAATCAATTGTAGTTAATTAATACAATTTTCTGGTATCTAATATTGTGCATGTTTTCTTTCAGGATTCGCTAATTGTACCGATGTTTTTCCTATCTACATCGGAGATGATCGAACCGACGAGGATGCATTCAAGGTATTGAAAGAGAGAGAGCAAGGATTTGGGATTCTTGTGTCCAAAGTTGCAAAGGACACTAATGCTTCTTATTCCCTCCAGGAACCAACACAGGCAAGCCTCCATGATTTATTCCATAATTATTGTTTTTTGGGTAATAATAATTATTATTAGTGTCTTAATTAGATGATCACTTTGGCTAATTGTGGGAGATTGTGTTGATTCCTTGCAGGTTATGGACTTCTTGCAACGATTGGTAGACTGGAAAAAGCTGGCTTTCCAGGAGTCCAGGATGTAGGTTCATTGATCAGTGGGGGGGATTGGATTTGGATGGAGTTTTTAATTGTATCAATTAGCATCTACTCTTAGTTAATTAAGTTGTATAATTACGACAAAAAATGGAAAAAAAATTGTACATCCCTGGTACCCTGGACCCTTTTGACAGGGTAAAAGAGAAATGTAACTAAGGGTGGGAGAATATTAGGTTTTTTTATTTGTTTCTAATTTCTCCCTTAAGTTCCTTTTTGTTAGAGGGGAAGTTGGACTAAATCCATGTAATTAAGGGAGAAATTAACAGGAGGGAAGAGGGTTTAACCATTTTGGGGTTTTACTCTTTGCCTTTTGGTTTAGTAAATGGCTCTTTTCTTGTACATCTTTTGTAAACTAGGCACTTGTTTGTTTGTGGTTACACATGAATGGGGAAAAGCAAGACTTTTTACGCTCTGTTTGGCAACAAGGGGGGTGCAAATTGCAGGAGGGTGCAAGTTGAGGGGTAAATTGCTGGGGGGTGCAAATTGCTGGGGGTGTAAGTGGAGGGGTAAATTGTTGTTTGGATGAAAAAGTAGGGGGGTGCAAATAGAGTGAAAAGTAAGTAATTATATTATTTTAAAATAGATTTTAGATTACAAAATAGATTTTAAAATATTATCATAAAATAATAAAATAAATATTACTATATAATAATAAATATACTTTACTAAAATAGTTATTATATCATAATGCTCAAATAATAATTAATTATGACAATTGTATAATCATTGATCGAGCGATCTCAAAACTCGAAGCTCAACTTGTAACTGGTCATCCTATATAGGGTTTTCGTGTCTAGTTTAATCTTAAATTGTCAAACTTAGTCAAACACGTTCGAATTTGTAAGTTTTAACTATTTAGTCAAATAAACTGAGTTAACCAAACAATTTCTCTCTATCTTTTCCACAAACACCTCGTATCTCTAATTTTCAATGCAAATTCGATTCAACCAAGAGATCTAGATTTGACTTGACGAACATTGATAAACTTGTTTCCAGAGTCAAATGGTCAACCCCGAATAATGTTTACATTAATGATATTTATAAAAAGAAGAAATTGATAATATTAATTATTATATAATTATATATAACACAATTAGAAAAACAAAATTCCATAATTCCCCCCTCCCCCTCTCTTCCTTCCTTCCCTTGCCCCCCAATTCGGGGGGTAAGCCGAAACAGTAAATTTGCACTCCCGTTTTGCACCCCCCTACTGTTCCAAATTAACCAAACAGGTGCAAATGTGTTGGAAACTGTATTTACCCCTCACATTTGCACCCTCCTCCCATTTACCCCTCTTCCCAAACAGAGTATTAAGGTTCATTTTTGTCCATCTTTTTATTTGTTCCTATTATTGCACTAAGGTTACTCAAAGTAATTTAGCTTCCAAGTTTTGTGGAAATCAATATGAGTTGAAGAGAGAAGAAATGTAGCATAACAATTAAATGATGGGTTCTTCTTAAAAAAATTCTCATAATGTTCATCAGTTCATATATGAGTTGAAGGAAAGAAGAAGTAAATGATTAGTGACGAGAACCCATATTTAGTGTTTAATAATTACTCCTCTACGAACCTTCATTTAATATTCATATTCGTCTAAACTATATATAACAAAGCTTCAATTTAAATATATGCAACATACAGGGTAAATGTCATATTTGATCACTGAGATTACTAAATCGTGTCATGTTTACTCACTAGAAAAATTTAATATTAATTTAGGTCACTCGAATTACTGAAACAGGTCAATATAAAATTCGAGTTACCAAAATTGATATTAAATTTTTCTAGTGACTAAACATGACATGATTTAGTTATCTCAGTGACCAAATGTGGCATTTACTCTATATAATTACATAAAAAACAAACCAATCTGAGTTGTAAAAAAAAAGACCAATCTACAAAAATGTCTTTACACTAATAAAAGACCAACGCTTAACAATGTTTAGGCCCAATAGGGTTAGAGGTTTCAACCTGCCCTCTTCCCCCTAATGTAAACAATAAATATGCATCATCAAAGATAAAAATCAAACATTTCAACACATAAGTCATAAAACACTAACATGATTCAAATATTTAAGTCTCATAATAAGTAGAAACATAAAAATCCACCATTTGGAGCTTGCAATTATAATAATTCGGTTTTTCGGTTCGGGAATTCGGAAATTCGGTTCGGTCGAAAGAACCCTGGTTTTCGAAATCCGCCCTTTTCTCTTTCGAATTTCGAACCGAATAACATTAATTCGGTTTCGGTTCGGTTTATATTCAGTTAGGTTAGGTTCGGTTTTACCGAACCGTATGCCCACCCCTACCTAAGAGGCACGTGACTTCTTCTGGATCAACAGTAGCTATGATCGAAACGACTCTGTTTTGGGTAAACGATCTCTATCCTTGTTTCAGGTCCGCGTTCGAGGTTGCTTGTTGACGAAAAAGAATGAAAAAAACCTCATGTTTCTTCTTTTTCTTCTATCAGCAATATTCTTCTCCATATCCTAGCAACACCACAACAATACTAATTTCATCTACATTCATTACAGAACCTTTGCGGGATTCTGGCTAGAACATGGGATTGTCATTTTGTTTATGTTGAAAGCACGAATGGCCACCAATTCACCATATTCGAGAGTGCACATCTAGGTGCCACTTGCTCAACTACACTACCTACTATTCTATGTACGATAGATGCTACATAGATAGCTTCATAACCAATTATATATACATTGCATCAATATGTTCCCATAAAAAGGACGACCCCTCCACCTTAAGAGTGATGAGACCATATCTGTAGAGAGAGAGAGAGAGAGAGAGAGAGAGATACAACACTACAAAGGTTGATTCTCACACTATATGCTGTATGCAATGCAATTCTTTCTTACTCTAGGCAACATTCTTTCTTTCACGTACGTGCTCCCTTTCTTACTCTTATCAGGCAAACTATATGCTGTATGCAATGCAATTATTGATCTAAGAGCTTTTTAGGGCCCTACTTCGATGTGTAGTACTGTAGCCATCTCCAATGGAGCACGAACAATGTGGCAAAAGTTTGATTGATGCCGAGATACCATATTGCGAACTACCATATCTACACATTCATTTTTCTTCCACTAGGTTGTAATGTTCGTTTGTTTGAGATCTCGAGTGGACGGTTTATGATAAACACGCGGTATGTTTCGGGAAAGCCTAGCCAGAAGGCCAGTTTTATAAAACACTAATAATGGACATGTTAGGGTATATATGACTTATTGTTTCGGAAATTAGATACTTTAGTTGTATGGTAATATGGTTCGTGGATTGTTGTTTACAACATTATTTGATCGAAATATATATATATTTTTTTTTACTAACATCATCTAATCCAAGGAGTAGATGGATGAAATCAAAATGAGGTAATGGATTTCGAACTATTTTTCTTAATCTCGAAACTTTTCTAACCAAAGAATTAGGAGATTATGTTAAAGCATATGTTCTTAGTAAACAAATTCATTTATGGTAATAGGGTAATAGGAGAGAAAGAAAAAAAAAAAGATATTCCCGTGGCTAGCTTATGGACAAATCCTTAATTCAGGGATAAGATCATGGGGTCGTTTTATGATTGGTTCGTTAAGGATTGGGTCGTTTTATGATTGAGAGTTGCAAAGAGCAATGTACTCTAGCAATGATGAAAAAGGGCCACCATAATAGCTTGAAGATCAAAACAAAAACATCCCTTTTCTTGTTTTTATCTCATCTCTTTTGGTTTTTTATCTCATCTCTACAATCAAACCATAGATATGCTGAGTCAAAATGAGTCCCCCTTTGAAGTGTATGAAAACAAAAAAAATTGGTTTAGTACCATTTTGCTATGGCCATTTTCAAGTGTTTTTCTTCATGCCAACTGTTTTCTTCTCCCACTCACTTCTTATATATAAAACTTATCAAGTTATCATACATATATCAATAATTGTGGCCAAATTGGTAGGTGAGGGCGGACCCAGGGAGGTTTAGGGGTGTCCCCGGACACCCCTAAATTTTGGGAAAACGATTATCCAACCCTCGGTGGTATTTTACGTATGGACAAAAAATATAATTGATAGTGAGGGACACCCCTTAAATTTGAAAAAATGATTATCCTACTGTCATTTGTGTATAGGAATATAAGCAGTGGCGTAGCCAGGAATTCACTTAAGGTAGGTCAAATATGAGAAAAAAATAAAATTTTAGGATGCATTTTCGTATATTGAATTTTTTTAAAAATTACATGCAAATTATGATGGATGTCATTCTTAAGTTATTTTGCGAAAAATGATTCATGATATCATCACTCATCTAATTCTAAAAGTGTTTTTTATGTTATTCATTGTTGTAAGGATTCTTTCAACACTTGCAATGACAACTAATATAGTCAAAATTGCGGTTTAAAGCTTAAAAACTTAAGTTTTTTATGCTTTTAGGTTACCAAAACGCTTCTACGCATAATCACAGTTATAATAACTAATTTAGTTGAAAACTGCACTTTAAATCTTAAAAGCTTACGATTTTGCGCTTCAAAATCACCAAAACGCTTCTACGTAGAAACGCGCTTTTGACTACTTTGATGGCAACCAATAGCAACAAACACCAATAAGTTTTGAGTTTTCGTTTATATTAAAAAAGTCAGCTGGAAAATATATTAATCAGAAGGTAAATAGAGATCACAAAATATTACTTTTTCATAAAATTATTACAATGATAAGGAGATTATCTATCCAACCCACAATTACATAAAAAAATTACTATAGTTTTGAGCCAAGGTGGTGCAAATGACCTACCTTAGCCCTAAGTGGCTCCGCCACTGAATATAAGTGGTAGGTTAGATAATTCAAATCTAGAACAATATTATTATTAATAAACTTAATTTCTGTTGAGCTAAACTCATTTGTTGTTCGATTTTGAACAATGTGTAATAGTAAAATGACATTCCCTATCTCTAATTATTTTAAAAACCTAACAATTAAACTAATTTCAAACTACCCTTAATTTGTATTGATTTTATGATTGTACGACAAGTGTTGAAAGAGTCTTTCAGCTTTGGGTTACATCAAGAACAAGTTTACAAATCGAATATGCGATAAGTTCGTGAATGATTGTCTAGCTAGCAGTGTATATAGAGAGAATTTTTTTTAACACTACAGACACCAAGTGTATTCTACAATTATTTCCGAATATGAAAACATATCATGGACTTTTTAAACCTATACGAGTAAGGTATTTTCATATTGACAATTTTATTTTTATCAATTATTTTTATTTTTATTTAATTTATTTTTTAAAAGAGGACACCCCTATGAAAAATTTCTGGGTCCGCCACGTAGGTCAGTCTTAGACGTTACCCCAACCGCATACACGAAAAGGAAAAAGTGGTTTCAAACAAGCTGCATTTTTCTTAATCTGAT